TACTGACATATGCTGAGCTGTTGTTAATCATTGATGTTACTGAACCTACAGGACAGTTTAATCTGTGGTGTAGTCATTACAAAATGTCTTAGAAAGAGCGAGTTTAATTGGCTATTAAATTGCCTAGTTATTAAATACTTGTAGAACACAAAGACTGCTTTTTGATAAAGAGGATTTGCACATCTGTGAATATGTGCAAAATATGTCATATGTAATGGCAGAATCTGGTCTGCCATGTGCTGTGTATTTGATGCTGGGATACTTAACCTGCATATTAAAATGCTGCACTTTATTATCCTTGCTTTTTAGTTGGAAACACATGTAATTGACCATTAAAGTGTCTATTTTGAGAGGGAGGGAATATGCTGAAGGTAGAATGTGCTGCTTTTTACAGGTAGCAAACAATTTGAAAACCTAGTTCAGTACATTTCAAACCTACAGCTGTAAAATTTCTAAGAAAATGTGTTTGTATATACAACAGATAAAAAGAACAATGCTGAATTAAGTCTGCATGGAAGTCATCTCTCTGCTGTTGTCAGTAGCCCTTAGGAGTTCAACTGTAATCAATAACATGACCCTTCTAAAGTAACTACCATATGGGTAGTTGCTTAAGAATCCAAGTCAGTCTTAATCACTAGCTGTAGGTTTGCTGATGAGGTTTAGAAAGTAGATGCACTAGAGAGGGAAGATTCAAAACTGGAACAAGGGTGGACCAAACTCCATCCAGCATTTAGATGTCTACATGTAGGTAAGCTGTAAATAGTGAAGTCTTTCCACCTTATGGCAGACATCAAAGAAGAGATGCAGAGCATTCACATTTGACATGCTGAAGCATCTGTAAGACATCTGCTGGCCAAAGACTGATTCTGCACAGATGCTGAAAAACAGTTTAGGGATGCAGACACCATAGCATGAGCTCTCCTTCCACCTCAGACTTGGGATTCTTGAGAATATGGGCTAGCTCTGTTCCTTATAATTTCAGAGACTGTCAGTCTCTGTCTAGTAATTGCCATGCATTCTGATCCATTGAATAAATACTTGGGGGTGGGGAGCAGTGCAAATGCAAATTCTCTTCTACCTGCTGCGCTCTTGCATGATTTTGAAGAAGTCATACTCTGTCTGCCTCATCTTATTAATTCTTTGTAGAATTGTATTAAAGCAGGTGCCATTTCCTTGCCATAAATACGGAAAATGGGTTAAAAGGTATATGAAGAATCTTGATGTGTTTGGAGTAGGCTGTAGTTCTGGCCACAGCATGTATAGAAAAGCTTGTTTGATATCTTAAAAGATCTGGTAACTTATTAAAGGGAGAAGCTTTGAAGGGCAGCAGATGCATAGTAGAGATTCAAGGCTGATTGACAGTCAGATTCTTTTCTTTTAAAGCATTAGCCTTAACTTTAACCTTACTTTTTAGAAGTCTAGCTTTCATGTTTTCTCATTGTGTGGTGTCACAAGCCATAGCTGGAGCACTTGTCTGTCAAGCTTCACAAGCAGGCTCCAACTGGAAATGTATATATGCAGGAGTTTAGCTTAGAGGAGGGAACTCTTATAATAATCTGAGACAGAGAAATATGTTACTTCTGCAGAACAGCTATCCCAAAGTAAAGGTTGGAGGCCTGGGAGTGACTACTACAAGCTGTTCATCTGGGAGGGAAAAACCTACCCAGATGAAAACCACTTCTTCTTCCAGCAAGCCTGCATCTTTATATGCCAAGAATACTTGAGATGTCAGCATTCCTGCTTCTCTGATTTTATTTTATTTTTTTTTTTCTTTTATTGCTAACCTTTTTTCTCCTCTTGCTAAGAAACTACTGAGTCCCTTAGGATTTTCTTTTCTTTCCCGGGCTATGTCTTACTCATACTCATCTTTCCTTGTGTTAGTCTTTCTATTCTTCCTTTCCCCTTTGGAATATTTGCTGTCTCCTTTTTCTTAAAAGACTTTTCTTTCATATTTCTGTTCCTTGAAGCCCCAGAATCACCAAGGTTTGTACCAGCCATGGTGGCATATGCTGTATTTGTGACTGCTTTCTTTCTCATTGACACCTTTATTTAAGCTTGTTAGTCCATAATTTAAGAAGTACGTAAGTATATGTATGGCTTCAAGTAGTGGAATCTCAGTGATGCTGTTGGACTGACTTTGATGAAACAGTCACCTCTTATCTGAGGAAGGATGAAACATGACCTTGATTTCATTTGTTTCCTTTCTTCCACTGCCAGAACACACAACGTGTGTATGGAATGCATACACAGAATAAGGAAACTCATAAAGTGATAAAATTTGAAGTGTTTCCATTAACAGAATGAAATAGGCTCAAAGTATTAATTTGAAAGGTTGGAGAAATTGTATATAGGAAGTTACTTCAACTTGTCTTGATCTAGAAACAACTGAAAATTGAGATCTATGATGCTTTACTGGGGAAAAAAAAAAACAGTTCTTCATGTGGTACTTCAGATTATAAAAGTACGTGATCAGTTCTTGATAGTGTATTGGTCCTGTCCAGTGTTCTCTGGGCTGATGAGAACCTTTCAATAGATGTAAATGGATATAAACTGGTAAATTTTTCCTTCCTGCAGCCTAAAGGGAGGATTTGTTGTAATTCTCAGTGAATTTACTCTGTTATAAAGTACCCTGCATCATAAGTTCTGATTACACTGGGAAAAATTTATGTGCAAATGTTTCCTGTCTCTAGCATGTATACCATCGTGGTTGACTTTCCTTAAAACTTCAAGGTGAAAGACTGGTTGTTAGAGTATGTAAAATGGAACTGTTTAAAGATAAGATTTCATGTTCATAGCCAGCATCTGAGAAGCTGTACTTAAAAGCAAATTGCAAAACCCCAAAGTACCCCTTCTGCTTGTGACAGTGGCTTAGTTACACTGGAGATGTGTTCTTAAGTTCTTGTGGCTGCACAACTTTTGTAGCAGGTTTTGCTGCTTCCACAACTACCTAGGTGGGAGCAAATGGCCCTTTTACTTTAAGGGAGGAGGCCTGTGTGGTAACCTCTGTGACTGGTGATTTCAGTTTACACACACACACACACACACACACACACACAAACACAAGAGGCTTGATCTTGTGTTGTCACCTGTAAGCTTGCTTTCAGCTCTGACCAGTGGCTGATTACTCAACCAGCTGCTTGACGGCAGGTAATGACTGAAAGGTGTGAATAATAACAACCAGGCATGCATAATTAAAGAAAAAAAAAAAAGGCCTCTTATGATTTCCTCTTACCTAACCCTTAATCTTCCTTTGCTAGGCGGGTGCCCTGCTTACTTTTCTTGTCCTTGGTGATACAGGGAGTTGTCTTTTGGAAGTGTTCAAAGTCAGGGTTGGACAGGGCTTTGAGCAACTTGAGGTATTGAAAGATGCCTCTGCCCATGGCAGAGACATTGGACTAGGTGATCTTTGAAGGTCCATTCCAGTCCAAACCATTCTGTCATTCTTTTGTTGATACACTCCTCTTTCAGTCCATTTTGCTTTGAAGGCTCTCTCTGAGCATCTTCCTCTTTTTCTCCATGATTCCCTTTTTGCAAAGGGTGGCAACAGGGTAAGGGGAGAAAGATCCTTAGTTTGTGATGCCTTTTGGTCTTCAGCCTTGATGTTTCAGCTGTATTTACCTGGAAAATAATACATCTGCTTAGGAGTATACCAGCTTTTTACATCTCTGAATTTATTGGTAGTGTTTCCATCTGTGTTTTGAAAGAGAAAGCTGGACACTAAACAGCACTTTCTGTGATGCAAAAGCAATGCAAAGCAGGGATGTTGAGGTAGATACACCATTTTCTTTGTAAGCATTTCCGTACCATTCTTGTAACTTTTCAAAGTTTTATTTTTAGAACTTTCTGCTTGATGGGAAGACCTGTTGGGTCTGTCTTCTCTGAGGTTTTGTTTTTTTTTTTTTTATGGGAGTGCTTAGAAGACAGATGGTGTCCATACGTGCTTACGAATGGTCTTGCATAGTTGATTTGGAGCAGCACAAGGAAATGGGGAATCCTGAACAAAACTTGTTTAGGAGGACTTGAAAACTGCTGGCTGTAAACAATTTTACTCTCCTTTCAGCCATCCTGCCCCCAGAACTGGTCAGCTGGAGTCAGTGAGATCCTGTTACGAATGATTTCCTAGTTATTAAAGGATTTGGGTCTGCTCAGGCACCATGTTTCTGTACTCTTTCATTCAAGTCGGAACATTGGTGTTACAGTAATTCCTATCATTTACTTAAGTGATTTAGTGTATGAATTGTTGTTTGCAACATTGTTTCTTCCTCCTTTGGCTTCTATTTAAAAGATTAGCACAGGGAGTGGTTTAATTGAAGTGAAATACCTAAAACTGGTTTTAAACATTCATGCTGTATGCCATTTTACATTGCAGTTGCCTTGCATAATGAAATGAAACTCAAACACAAGCAAATTGCTGGAGATGGATTTAAAAAAACTGCAGAAGAATGTTTTAATTTCCAGGATGGCAAGATAACATTAGTATATACCAGTTTGAAAAGTTTGGGTGTATGTGAAATATATGTGGTATTCACACTGATGGTAAGAGGTTGCTTTCAGAGACAGTTTAATCCAGATTCCAATGACTTAATTTTCTTTCCTGCCTGTATGCTTGTTGGAGGTTGTGTTGTGTGTTTCTGTGAAAGATAATTAAGCCAAAGTGAGTTGAATGCTTACAAAGATACCTTATGACGTAAAGTTTGCTTTTATGTTAAAAGGAAGTTGAATCTCTGTAGGTACTTCTGCTTCCTCTGGTATCTTATCTGAGAAACTGCTGTATAATAATGTGGTCTTCAGTTATATATTTAATCTTGTGTTCTTACTAAAATATACTAGAAATTCTTTCCATCACCAGAAAAAAATAATCACAGGAAGGTCATTAAGCAGGATCCGTTAAAATATCAGTACATTTTCTAAAAGCCCTAACTGCATTGATGCTTTATGTTGGGAGTATGGAAGTACGTTAGCTCTATTTTTAATAAATGTTCTCTGCTCTTCTTCAACAGAGGTGTTATGAACATAAGCAGTATAGAAATGGGCTGAAGTTCTGTAAACAGATACTTTCTAACCCAAAGTTTGCAGAACATGGAGGTAAGTTTTCAAATGGCATGTGCTGTCTCTTTTCCCTATACTTTAAGATAGAGTGGTAATTTGTAAGCTTTGTGTTTATTGCCCATAAAGCAGAAAGAGTGTCCAGAAACCTTCACCATGGTAAGTACTTACTGTTGGTAAGGTTTGTAATTTTGAACTCTGGTCTTGCCAGCAGTCAGTATTCATAGCTTTACTATTCTTTGTCATTATTCTGCAAGTTTAATATTCATTTTAGCATGGTGCAAGTTTCTTAATACAAGTATGTGTTGCTTAAGTCACTTTACAGGGGAAATTGTTAGTCACTCATGTAGAAGTGAAAGACAGAAGCAAGAGATTGAATGTTCAACACTGTCTGCGGTTTGCTACTTTTTCTGAAGGAATATCCTTATTGTAAAAAGAAGGAAAAGGTGTTTGTCCCTTGCTGTATTTTCAGTCAGCTCTTAAGACTGAGTGAAGAGCTTCTTCTCACTGTCTGGAAATGTGGTGGTTTTTTTTCTCTTTGCTGACTAGCTTGGCATGGGTGGATGTGTAGAAGTCTATGTTGCTGATAAATACTGAGTAGTTATAATGCTACTTTACAGTAAAAAAAAAAATAAATCTCATCTCTCTCTAAAATGTCTACAGAACGGTTTTTAGTGCCTTGAAATAAAATGCTGCTTAACTTTTGGTGGAAGTAGTGCATGCAGTTTATTGTCATGTCTGATACACTTTAGTGGATAACTGCCAGTATAGTTTTTCATGAGAAAAAAGAATGCAAAACCTTGATGCTGATAACTGAGTTTAAATTTGCGTTCATGCTATATTTAGAGTTGCTGTATTAGGCTTTAAAACCTATGAAAATGAATAACTTATACCTATTTAATTATTTATATATTTTTTTAGAAACTTTGGCGATGAAAGGCCTAACATTAAACTGTCTAGGGAAGAAGGAGGAAGCTTATGAACTTGTGCGTAGAGGCCTAAGGAATGACTTGAAGAGTCATGTCTGCATCCTTTTTGAAACGGCATTCACTTATGAATGGAACGGGGTTAATTTCTACAACTGCTTGATTTATAGAGTGGCAACAAACACCAGTACTATTAGGCTTCTGACGGGAAGTTAAGGATTTAAGGTTTGCTTCCAACACGCAGTGTTTTGTCTAAGCTATCAAAAGGGCAGATGCTTTGCAGCTAGCTGAAATATTATTCTGGCTTGCATTATGTAGTTTGTTTGGGGGTTTTTAATCGTTAAGCTGCAAGTCTAAACTTACGGTGGGCTGAACTATGCATTTAAGCATGTGATTTGCTTTAAAAACATTAGCAGTTGCCATTACATTGATAAGGACTTGTCATATACTTCGAGTGCGGGAAGTGCAAGCACTTCAGCTGTCTAATGTAAGCCCTCACTCAAAAATGTGTTTGAGTAAGCCTGATAATCTTCTCAGAGATCCTGTGGCTTTATTTCCTCCCCCCTCATGCAAAAAGTACAGTTTCTAGCATATTATTTGCACCCTGTACATATTATTGGCAAACAGTTCTTTGTCTTCAAGTAGCAAGCAGTTTTCTTCATACAGCTAAAGAAAAGAATTGTAATGATTGTGATAACACTAGTGTCTGTTTATAAAAAGCTTACAGCTTTTTACCAACTGTTCTGTCACTGGCATGTTGGATCTGTGTTCTCCCTGCTCAAATTCAGTAGAATCCTTAACAAGAGTTTTCCAGGTTGGCATGTCTATGGCCTTCTTCAAAGGTCAGACAAGAAGTACGATGAAGCTATCAAATGCTATAGGAATGCACTGAAATGGGACAAAGACAATCTTCAGATCTTGAGAGATCTTTCTCTGCTACAGATTCAAATGAGGGATCTTGAAGGTTACAGGGTAAGTATACATACTGCATATAAACTGTTGGATCCAGATTGTTAAAACTATGTGCTCCTCAATACTTTGTGAAAGTAAAAGCAGATGTGCTACTGGGCAGTTTCTCTAAAGTATGCAGATTTAGTGGCATGTTAAATGAGTCTTTTCAGCTCAGTGCAGAATTGTTTGCTCTTTTTAATGCTGTTTAATCCAGCTGTAGACATTCCTGGTCTTTTCTTGGAAGGATTCCTGCAGGTAGAAGCCAATGCATTCAGATGATGACTGTTACTCAGGCAAAGGAGTTTCTGTTTTTTAATAACGTACTACTGTATATCCCCCCATTAAAGCCAGTTGCCACTGATTTGCTTTTGACAGTAGGTAAAAATAACAAAGCAAGGATGCTGCATGAAACATGCCCATGCTAGACATTAGTGATGGCTCCTTTGGGTCCAGATACTTCCTTATGTTTTCTGTGAGCTGTAAGACTGTGGATCAGAACTCTTGAATATTCCTCTTCTTTACTAATACCCAAAATGTTTAGATTACTGTATTGTTTAATGCTTATTTTATAGTAAAGCTGAACGCAGTTTGGTTAACTTAGTTTAGAACCCTCTTTCTTCCTGTTACTGCAGCACCAAGTTATTTGCTGCCTTGCCTCAGTTGTTTGTATTTGCCATGTGAGATGTTCTTTCATGTTAACCAGCCATTACGAGGTTGTAGTGTCATGGCTGTGATGCTTCTGTAAAGAAGTAAACTTTCTATTGTCTTCTCTATAAATGCTATTTCTACTGGAGTTAGGTCTCTGTTTTTCTGTCTTCCTGAATTGTGAGCTGATGTCTAGCTTGCAAATACCTTTATTTCTTAAAAAGTAACAGCTTCTGTTTAGCATGCATACAGCAGAGATGTTTTGTTTTGTCAGGTTTTCATCTTTCCAGTTTTTCCTTGTACACTTAAAGTTGTGGTTGTTAAAAACACATAAGTTGGTCTCTTCATAGATTATTTCCTGTTCAAGTTAGGGTAATGTTAATATGGAAAGAGCAAGTTTTGTTCTCAGAGCTGTGTGGAACCGTCAGCTAAAACAGGTTCTCAGTGAATGTATTCCCGAGTTAGGATGGTTTTTTCTCATGAGTAATTTAGAAATTCGCCACCCTTCTTGCTGAGACAAGATAGCCAACGCTTAGCATAGGTGCCAGAATACATTTACGAATGTGTGTTGTCTTGGCCTCTAGATAAAAGTAAATACAAATGCATAAGTGCTAAACAAACAAGGAACACATGATTCTAGAATGCATTAAGGATTAAATGTTAACATGCTTTGAAGCCTTGATTCTTGACAGATCATATGCTAGTTCCTGAAGAGTGTGAATTTGCTCTCAAAACTGAAAGTAAGGTTGTGAGTAGGTTTTGTTTGTTTTCCTTCACTTTAACTTCCACCTTGTCCTACATTATGCTGTTTTGAGTGATCATCATTCTAGTCAAACTGCTGTAACTGGTTTTATTTCTTTATTAAGCCCTACTTCTGACTGGGCTTTTTACTAGTTAGTAACTTTTTTCCTTTGTTTTAAATTACTTAAAGATGTCTTTCAGGAGTCTGCAACAAAATAAGTAATAACTTCTTCCTCAGATTAAAACAGCACAATACCAAGCAAATCTGTTGCATCTGACAGCTGTAATTATCTTCTTGCCAAAGAGTAGGCATACGCTTGCGTGACCTATTTTGCCTAATAACACTTGAAATTGTTAATACACATGTACTTCCAGGGTGAAGTTGGAACACCGGTATTTAGTAAATCTTTCTGCAACTCCAAGTATACTTAATTGCGTTCTGTATATAGGCGATGAGACAGGAAAAGCACATGTGTCATACATTGACAAAGTCTGACTCAACAGTACTCAATTGGATGTGATGTGTTGTGGGGGGGGGGGGGGTTTACTCAGTCAAGACCATCATAGTGTTTTAAAGCTTATCCTTTCTTTTGGTTAAAAAAAAAATATATTTGCAGATAGAAAACTAAATTTTAGTGTCATTCCTTAAATATTAGAATACCGAAGACAGAGTATGGCCTAATGGATTCTACAGAGCATCAGAATAAAGTCAGGAAAATTAGTAGCTCCTTTTTTGCAGGAAACAAGGTACCAGTTGCTTCAGCTCCGACCTGCACAGCGAGCATCATGGATTGGTTATGCTATTGCTTACCATCTGCTGGAAGACTATGAAATGGCAGCAAAAATTCTAGAGGAGTTCAGGAAGACACAGCAGGTAAGAGGAAAACATGAAATTTCTATATGGATTGCTGCTTAAGCCAAAAATAAAACTGTTTTTTCAATGATGTGAAAACTTTATGCAGTTTCTGTAGTGAAATGAATTAAATCCAAATGTGTTCTAGAAGACTGAACTTTTTCATGTGTCTTCCTCTCTTATGTAGACATCACCTGATAAAGTGGACTATGAGTACAGTGAACTGCTGCTGTATCAAAATCAAGTGCTCCGGGAGGCAGGACTACATAAAGAAGCCCTGGAGCATCTTTGTACCTATGAAAAGCAGATCTGTGATAAACTGGCTGTCGAAGAAACTAAAGGTAATTACTTTTTAAAGATATATTTAAATGCTTAGTATACAATGGAATGCCTGTACTGTCAGCTTTTCCCATCTTTTGGAATGTCGTCTGTGATTTGGGTTTAGACTAATTTATTTAATTCTGCTGTGATAAAGGACTCATTGTCTTGCAGCTGCTCAGTCCTTACCATACTCTCCTCCCAGGTTCGTAAGACATCAATAGAGTAGAGATACACTGTTCTGAAACTTACTGAGCTGCCAAGCATTTCAGGCAGATGACCCCGAATCGATGTCCTGAAATTCTGTTTGGGTAGTGTACCCATTGCATTACAGCTTTGATAGTCATCCTGACAGGGAGACAGTCTTTGGCAAAGTAGAAGGCTTTTAATCATACTCTTTCAATCTTGCAGTATATGGAAACAGGCTCTTTAGCTGGAACCCAACATAGGCTTCTGTTACTGTACTATTATAGTCCTAGTGTATACTATTATAACAGAGCAATGTAAGACTGTGTCTTATATTCCATAGCTGGAATTGCAGTATGATAGAAGTTCATTCTTACAGCTCTATTATCATGTGCACTTTTTCAAAGCATGCTTTGTTCCTCTTCTGCCTGATGTTCGTACAGTCCTTCTGTGAAACTTCCAATCTGTTGAAGGTACTGTTTGTTCATGGCCCACATTGGAATCTGTTTGAATGATTGTTTGAAGCAAAGAGAAGAAATCCTTTTACTTTATAATATTATTCATGTAGATCTTGTGACTAGCTGCCTGTTCCTGCTAACGGTTAATCTCACTGTCTCGCAAAAAAACCCTAGGAACCGAGTATTATGGAAGGTGTGTGGTACCTCCTTAAGCAAAATGATTGCAGGTGACTCTCTGCAGTTGCCAAATATGTTATTTGGGTTGCATATAAATGGAAATGGGTGCAGACATTATGCTATCACTAGATTATATTTCAGACATAGTAGTGGAAGTCTTGGTTTGGGCAAGGGATGTTGGTTTATGACTTACCTTTTATCTGACATACTATGTGTTCCTAACTTTTTGATAGAAGTCCAAGGCTGAAACTGAAATAGGATTTTCAAATATGACTTCATACAAAGAAACCCAACCCAAAGAAACAAAAAGCCCAAACACACACAAAGCTTGCTAGCAAGTTACCATAAAAAAAAGGATGGCAATAATCTTTGCAGTGAATGAGCTTTCAGTTGGGTAAACTGACTAATTTGGGGGGGGCACAGCTCCTGTTGCCTTATTAGTTGTAACTTAACTGCTGTGCATACTACAGAAAAGCCTCCTAATAAATGAGTGTTGTCTGTGAATTCTAAATATGTGCACAAAAGCCATTGTGGATGAAATACAATTGAGAAACACTGAAAATAGTATTAGCATTTGCCACTGTTGGATAAAAAATATATAACTTGTACCTCAGAGAAGGTATTCAGGTCTATTTGCCAGATTCTCTCATTCTCAGTGAACATACTGATGTTTTTCCCCAGCCTTAGATGCTGCATGTAGTCTGCAAGTTATCCTCTCTGTGGGAAGCAGCATCTAATGTAAATCTAAATCACATCTAAGTGTCAGTTGTGTGACATAGGGAGGAAAAGAGGTAGTGCTGACTCGCATTTTCCTCATGAAACTGCATGATAAGATCTTACCTTAATCTAGAAACTCTTATCACCTCTGGTGTGTAATCCTAACATTTGCCAATAGCAAAGCTCTCTTAAAACATGATTTTTCATTGTGAAATGGGGAATTGGCTTCTATTGCAACTCCAGCATCAACAAAGATGCTCCATACAGTTGTTAGATGGGGACTTTTAACAGTCATATCTTGAAATGGAATATCATTAAAAGGAAACTTGTTTGCAGAATCTTGAAAATTCATTAATCAGATCACTGGTTTGATTTAAGACATGGAATTCAGTTTTATGAAATTCGACACTGAAGAACCATTCTTTTATTTGCAGCTCTGCAATTTCAGGTTGTTTTTCAAGGTGCTATATATGTCAAGTGCCATGTGCTGCTTTTAATTGCCTTCTGTAGTAAAAACTGCACTTAAAATAACCAGTCACTTCAGTAAGTGAGAAAAAAATCTTGTGCATCTTGCTTTTAACAGTAAATTTTCAAGTAAATTTCAGTAGTTACTGGCTAATTGTAGAATCTTACTGTAATTACAGCTAATGTCAAAGTAAAAGCATATCTGTCAGCTAGTTTATGATGGAACTGTGATAATTTTTTCTAAGAAATTAGAATCTGCATGGAGTTAAGGATTGTCTAATCTTTTACTGTAGAATGGTTAATATTGCACTGCTTCAGTGTCTTGTTACCTTAATTTAAAACTTCTTGGATTTCACACAGGAGAACTCCTGCTTCAGCTTGGTAGACTTGAAGAAGCAGTTGAAGTCTACAAAGGGCTTCAAGAAAGAAATCCTGAAAACTGGGCCTACTACAAAGGCCTAGAAAAGGCACTTAAACCAGGTAATGATTTGATAAGTGTTTCTGCACATTTGGAATGTAGAATTTAGTAGAAATAAATAAATCTATTATTTAAAAACATCCCTATTTTAAGTTTTAGTCTTTAGTTGTAGTGTATAGTCATAATGTTTTGGGGGGGTTTTGTAAGAAAGGATGGAAGTATTGTATTGTTACCCTGGCTTATCACCAAAGCAAGAACAACAAAAATGCAGTAATCTTTGTGCATGGTTGAAAGAATAGAGTTATTTCTTAGGTTATAGTTTTAATTCAGAATTTTTCTTTTGCTGTCTGTTATTAATCTTCTATTGTAGTTAATACGCATTTTGGAAAAACAGGCACGTTTCTCCTGAATGGTTTGTTTATTGAAGATTTTAGCACAGTGATAAGACAGGAACTTTTTTTTTAAGATAGAGAGATGCAATTAGTCTTCCACTACTGGAAGAGGAATTTACAGATACTGCATACCTGAAATCATTTAGTACAGCAGTTCAAAAAAAGAGTAAAATGGAAATTAATGTTCTTTAGGAAGTATTGAGCCATTAGTTGCTGTATATTCTGATTCTTTTTTAACTGGATATAAATCACCCTTCCTCCCCCGCTCCCTTCTTGCCAAGAAGGAAGGAAAAAGTAAACTTTAAAATTCTGTTCCAGCTAATATGATGGAGAGGCTAAAGATCTATGAAGAGGCCTGGACTAAATACCCAAAGGGACTAGTTCCAAGAAGATTACCATTAAACTTTTTGTCGGGTAAGTGCGTTTTTGCAGGTAGTGGTCAACACTTGTGTTTCTTAGATACTAATGTTTTAACAGCATAAACAGTCTGCAATTGATGAGTAATGTTTGGTAAAACAAAATCAACAGGTCTTTTTCCTCTCAAGGTGAAAAGTTTAAGGAATGTCTGGACAAGTTTCTAAGGATGAATTTCAGCAAAGGTTGCCCACCAGTCTTCAATACATTGAGGTCGTTGTATAAAGACAAGGAGAAGGTAGGTTTTTTTCCCCCCAGTTTTAACATGTTCTTCCTAATAGCTGTGATGCATTAAAAAGATGAAAGAAACTTTTTTGTTTGTGTAGTTCTCACTCCATCAGCACTTTTGTACTTTATGGCTTGAAAAAAAAGTAACTTACAAGCATAGATAACCTTATGCCAAGTTGGTAAATATAGAAAGCTAAGGTTTACTAATTAGAAGCTGCATAAGTGTTACCCAAGGAGGGGTTGGTTGTAATTTGTTACAGATTGCTGAGATTGAGTGCGTTCCCGTATGTGTTGTAATTCAGGTTATTATAGAATTTTCTTACAAAAAAATAACTGGTTCGGATAACACCAAGTAGGTCAAGTTGAAATAAAATACCATCTTGCCCACAGATTTTTGTTTATTTTTTTCCCTTGTGTGTGTAGGTGGCAATCATAGAAGAGCTCGTGATAGGTTATGAAACCTCTTTAAGAAGTTGCAGGTTATTTAACCCAAATGGTGAGTGCTAAGACTGTCATATTTAATGGAAGTAGTGCCTGGTATAAGCATATGTAACTGCCCAGAGGTGGGGGAATCAGTGGGGAATAAAGAATTTGAGATGATGGGTTTTTTTCCCATTTTTTTTCTCCTAGCATAGAACTGAATCAGTTACCCTTAGAATGGATTTGAGCTGTCAGATATAGTCTGTATTTAAAATCTAGTCACTCATTCTAAAAGTTTCTCCTGGATCCACAAGTTTGGTCATCTCTTTGCAGTTTTGAGTTCAGGTATTTTCTTTTCAAGACTTTAATTTATCATTGTCCAGGAAATGGAAATTTGAAAGCTCTATTAAATCTTTAATTCCAAAACCATCAAACAAAAAGGAACAGATACTGTGATAGCACAGTCTTCAGGGGAGGGAGTTTTGGAGCTTTTCATGAGGGCTGGGTTTTGTATTCTTGGGTGTTTTGTTTGAGAGTTAAAAAATGTTTTCCAGGTTTTGACTGGCAACTGCTTTCTTGTGAGACACGGTTCTACGTGTATTGAATCCAGGTTTCATATTTTCCTCTCCGATAGCTTTATGATGTGTAGTCTTTTCCCCAACTGCTTTGTAACAGAAAATCTCTAAGAAAAAGCTTTTCTGCATAGAATATCAACATAGTTGATGGTCTTGAGATTTTGGTAGATGGATTATAGTGGTGTGATAATCAAGATAGCATGAATGACAATATATGTGAAAAGTTTACAAGACAATCTTTATTGAAGTTAAAACTAGTTAATTTCCTGCAATACTTTCTTACGAAATTCTCACCTAAGTTGCCTGTTATACTTTTCCCTTGAATTCAATGCTATAGGCTACAATGCAGCTACTTAATACCTGTTGAAATTTGTCCAACCCTTTCAAGCACATTTGTGCTTTTCTGGTTTAAGGAAATGGTTTACTGTTATTTCAGTTCAGTAGTTGCTTTGATATTAAATTTCATTCATATTAAAATTCATTCAAATAAACAGTTTTCTGGTCCCTTAAAATGAACAAGTGCGTGGTTATGTTACAAACGGAAGAACCAGAACCTTCTGGCAGGAATAGAGCCCACACGCCCTGCAAGGTGCTATACCTCCTAGTAAAAATTGAGTTGTGAACTTCTGAGACTTCCATAGTATTTTTTGACTTCCAGCAGAGCTCCCCAGCTTTCAAGCCTGGTTTGTGTATAGGGAAGTTTTCTAGGATACATTCAGGCAAACAGTGATGGTAAGTTTGTCAAAGGTGGAGACAGTACATCTTTTTAGAGCTAGGTTTTGCAACAGACAGCCTGTTTTGTTTAAAAATATTCAAGTATGTGGGCTGAAAATATGCAAACACTGAATGTACTGAAATCCTTTACATTGCTACTGTGCAACACCTGTGTTTAGCAGGACGCTGCTGTACACTTAATCAGTTTTAAATAAGATTTCTGCATGAGCTGCAGACTTGCACATATGGCTGCCCTGATTACCGGACTAGTTGGAACAAAGTGCAGCTCTCTTCTGACCCACTAACTTGCTTTTCCATTCCCTTGACACCGTAGTATGAGAAGGGAGCAGTATATGCTCAGGTCTTGTCACACCATAGCCTTAGAAGTTAATGAACTTACCTGGACCCAGGTATTTGGATGCAGATCCAGGTGTGGTACAACAGCCTGCTACAGAGATAGAATTAACTTCAGAGGTGTTACATATTTACCATTCTGCTTTTGGCATGTTGTTTTAATAAACTGGACATAACCTCCCTCTGTTTTTCTCCTCCAGATGATGGTAAAGAAGAACCTCCAACCACTTTACTCTGGGTCCAGTATTATTTGGCTCAACATTATGATAAAATTGGACAGCCATCCCTGGCTCTAGAATATATAAATGCTGCTATAGAAAGTACTCCCACTTTGATAGAACTCTTCCTTGTGAAGGCAAAGATCTATAAGGTAAGTTTGTCTTACTCTTAGTGACCAGAGGTTATTAGTTTCTTAGGATGGAAGACTTTTACGTAATGTTTTTCATGTGAACATTGAAGCGTATTAAGCAGGACGCATGGAGAAATCCGTGGAAAATAACTTCATGAGTTGTAGTGAGTTTCTAGATAAGAGGTATTGTTTGGCTACTTAGGTTTTTTACTGCATAAGTCCCTAGGAAGGTTTTTAAGTCATTAAAGGACAAATATACTGCAAAACATGAATTCTCAGTTTAAAATTGTTTCATGTTAAAAATCACACTAATAAATTTAGTTGATGGGTTAAGTGTCTTCCACCTATTCTTACTGCCTGTTTTTCTAACTACTTAAAAAGAGTTCTTAACTACACTGTGGTATTGTATCAGAATGGGATTATCCAAAGTGTTCTTTAAGCATTTTCAGGAAAGACCTATATTATCATAATGAGGGAAAGTAGTTTTTCTGCCTTTTTATTTTTTTCCTTAAAGACCTGCTGCTTTCCTGAAGAAAGCCGCTTATTTAAAAGTGTGAAAAAAAAATAACTATATTAAACAGTGAATGGTAAAACATAAATGTTTTAGAATTACTGAATCTGACTTGAACTTCTGTCTCTTTAAGCATGCTGGAAATATTAAAGAAGCCGCAAGGTGGATGGATGAAGCTCAGGCTTTGGACACAGCAGACAGATTTATCAACTCCAAATGTGCAAAATATATGTTGAAAGCAAACTCCATTAAAGAAGCAGAGGAAATGTGTTCTAAGTTTACAAGGGTTTGTTGCATTTAACTATAGCTCTTTTGAATAACATGGACCTAACCCATTGTGGAATAACTTTGTGTGTTAACTTTCCACTCACCTTTAGTATAATATTTTAAGTAGTTTCAGAGCAACTATGTTTACTTGCTTCACTAGTGGTGGTCAGTATTAGGTCATTATTAGGATCTTGCTAAAGCATGATTCCATACTATTTAGTGAAATCGCTGAAACTTCAACCTGATGATTTTTTCAAAGTAGTCTTTGGATATAATGTTGATTCTATAAGAAACATGGAAGATCTGATTCAGTTGCCCATGTCTCTGACTTTTTCTTTTTTCTATTTCTTTTTATTTTTCCTAGTAAGCTTGAGAATTCAGACTTAGGACAAAATTTGATGGTGTTGCTCAATGTAATCTTTTTTATCTTCTTTTGATCTTAGGTGTAGCGCTGAAATACAAGCTTCCTAATTAAAAAGCAATAATTAAAGAAAACCTAAATTAAGCATAATGAAAATTGAACTAATTATTTCCTCTGATTTTTAGCTGCCTAAATGAGACTGGTTTGAAGCCTGCCTTTCTGTTTCATTTGGGGCATCTTTTGAATATTATCTGGCATTTCCCAGCTTTAGCTCTTGGCTGATTCTTGAATAGGATGTTTTTTGCAAGATCAAAGTGAAGTCAGAATGGCTGCATCCATCCCAAGTAGCTGCCTTTGACATTAAGTTTGAAAGGCATAGGATAAGTTCTACAGATCTCTGCAAGTATATATAAATACCAGATTTGAAAGACAACTGTAATCTCCTGTTTTTTTTTAGCGTCGGTATGTATCAGAGCTACCAGTATGCCATTTGCTTTGCCACTGCTCTCTAGTCCTGATGGCATAAGAAATAACCTATTAACTACTCTGTCGCTACGCTTAGCTCAGTCAGCAGGTCTCTAGAAGACGCAGATGGTAGTTGTAGGAAAAAAAAAAATCTCTGCAGGTGTCAGTGTCATGCAACATACAAGAACTTCTCTGCCATTTTTCTTCATGCTGCAATGTGTTATTTGTGTACACAATGTTAAAATCACTAAATTAATGTCTTCTGTCGTAAAAGTGAGGAACTGTCACAGTTAAATGGTTATTCAATGTGTATTCTAATAAGCGGAACATAGACGAAATGTTTTTCCTTTTTTTAATGAACAAAACAAGTCCATGTCAACTGTGGCATTTCTTGACTTTTGGGATTCCAATTTTGAAGTCTAGCATTCTTTTAATAGCTTCTTTATTTGTGCTTTTAATTAGAGCAAAATAAAAGAAATGACCGTTAACATATTGAATGAGACTTTTCTTCATAATGCTGTTTTTGCTTTTAGGAAGGAACCTCAGCGGTAGAGAACTTGAATGAGATGCAGTGCATGTGGTTTCAGACAGAATGTGCACAAGCTTACAAAGCAATGAACAAATTTGGAGAAGCACTTAAAAAATGCCATGAAATTGAGAGAGTATGTATCTAGTTGAACTGTCTGGGTTGAAACACTAGCTTAAGTTGACTGTGCTAATATGTTTCCTTTCTGAGCAGTAAGAGTGTACTTTAGGTAGCTTAAGGAGAGATTTCATTTCATGTTGGCCACTGGTGAGTTGATTAAATTACATTTCCTCCTAAAAATGCCATTGTAAACTGTGTATTATAAAGAGATTCTATGAAGTCACATAAAGATCCAGGAAAGAAGAGAAAACTCTCAGAAATAATCTTACTTTTGCCAGGGTACACAAAAGTATGTATTTGGGGTACAGAGCGCATGTGTACTTTAAGTCCAAAAGGAACATGGCTGAGCTCACAAGCCCAGCCTTAAAGAAAGGGTATTGCCTTGGTTATTGTTAAGCTCCTGTATTTTAGAGGGAGAGAGTAAATGTAAAAAGCTATAGGAAATATTAGGTATCTTCGCCAGTAAAAAGTACTAGGCTATAGTTTAGAAGAGGCTACTAGAAATAAAAAGACTTTTTGGAGCAGAAAATGTATCCAAAATGGGGGTCTGCTTGCACATTAAATACAGATCCATAGCAAGGAAAACAAAAGAATTTTAATACGCGTCTTCTAAAGTACGGGTTTGGGGGGGGGTGTTTGGTTGGTTGTTTTGTTTTTTTGGCGGGGGGGGGGTCTTTTGTTTCATATTAAGGACATTATGGTCTAGAAAAAAGAGCAGACAGTTGAGGTTGTAAATGAAATGCTCTAAGTTGAGATCTTAGTAGGAAGCTACACCCATTTGCAAATAGGCTTAAGGAGATTTCAGCACTAATGCTTTTCTGCAGGGGAAGCTAGTCTGTGGAATATTCGCAGATTAGAACAAGTCAACAAAATGATTTGCCAGAATCATGTTCTTTAAATCTTTAAATCTTAAATAAATTTGTGTAAAATTCTGTTAAAAGAAATAGTATAAGAAACCGCTGGTCTTGTAAATTGTCTTAGGTACCAGAAGAGCTCAGCAAATGAAGATCTAACTTAGTCACCCTAAAAAACATTTCTAAGGAATTAAGTCACCATATTTAATTTATTTATTGGATTACTTGATCGGGGATGTAGTAAAGATCAGAAGTAAGATATGTTGTATTCACAACACATCAACAATGCTTTTGTAAGAAAAAGCAGGGTCTCTTAAATCTTTTAAAGGTGCCAGTTATGCTTAAGGCAGTCTAGGTGATAAAATGTGTTCTGGATTTCAGAAACACTTTTGATGTCATCCTTTGCGTCTTGAAGGATGTAAACTACTTCAGAAAAAGAAAGGATGTTGATCTCATGGGTTTAATAGCTGGTTTGTGACTGGGAAATAGAGTAGGAGCAAATCATCAGCTTTTACAAGAAAGGGAGTTTATCGTAGAGCTGACTAAGACATCTCTCTAGGGTCTCCATTGTTTGATAGATCAGTGAATGATCACAGAAAGTAAGTAGTGCAAGGGCAACACTTGCACTGTCTCAATACTAAGTGATAAAATGGTGCAAGAAACAATGTTCAACAGTGTAGTTGGCGGGAGGGACAGAAAGAATTCTTTGCCTATGTGTAAGTAGTAAAAGATTTTATATTAATTATTGCTACTCAGGAAAGAAATCCTGGAACTATTATAGACAATGTTGCAAAAAGGTCTGTATTGGTATGGAGGAGGAGTCAAACAACAGTGTTGGGGGTTAATTGAGTGGAGTAGAGTACTTTTCTTCCATTATATATATCTGTCATACTGTTTACATCTGAATATCACACCTTCTTAAAAACGTGCCAGTAAAATACGTGCTATGGAGTAACATCAACATGAAGAGATTGCAGTTAACTTGTCATGCTTACTATTTTAGCCTCAGCTCTGACAAGCATCAGCTGAGTTTAGGATGAAGTTGTGTGAGATCATAAGTACATGGAGAAATTGGAGAGGGGAATGACTTCACTGCTGCTTAAATCAAAACAAGGAGACATCAGGTGACAATGAGGAAAGCAGATCTTAGAAAAGGAAGTACTTGCTCACACCACATGTGATCTGAGTGCCACAGATCACTGCCACAGCCTTTAATGGAAGTCAAAATTGTACTTCTGACTGAAAAAATTAGAGGAGTTCATAGAAGAAAAATCCTTCAAGTGCTGTTTAAATACAACAAATGTAGAACTTTTGTTCTTTGAACCACATATTGTCAGAGGGTGCTTACTGTTGAGAGATTGTGAAATGGGTGAATTTTGTTTCTGACCTATGATGCCTTCTGTTCTTTTTCCCATGACTTTAATTTGGGATGTTTTTTTCACTCACATTTCTGAAAGTTAGGGTGTATTTGTCAAACAGCAGACCTTTACTACATTATTCCTTTGGGGAGAGTGTATTAAAAAAGTCAAAGTTAGTATTTAATTGGTAATACTTGCTAAATAATATTATGTTACGTTGTGTTAGCATTTTGTAGAAATCACGGATGACCAGTTTGACTTTCACACTTACTGTATGAGGAAGATTACTCTTAGGTCTTATGTGGACTTGTTAAAACTAGAAGATATACTTCGGCAACATCCGTTCTACTTCAGAGCAGCACGAATTGCCATAGAGATATATTTGAAACTCCATGATAATCCCTTAACAGATGAAAATAAAGAACACGAGGCTGATACAGGTAATCAACCCTCAGGATTTATTAAATATGCAGTTTCACTGATTAGTAGATACTTTACTAAGATCCAGCATTCTTATAGTTGTCAACTGCAGTAGCCAAAAACAACTGTTAAGTAGGCAGACTGTAACTTGGCCTGCATATAAAAGGATATGTTGTATTGAAAGTTGTACATGGTTTTATTTTGGTTCTTATAAAACAGTGATGGGGTTTGTAGCGGCAGTTGTAATTCTTAAGGAAAAACGTGTTTCTGTTACGAAATGGCCAAGAAAACATGGAATTCTTGGGGTTGTTGGTCTGTGAAATAACAGATTAAAGCAGGTGTGCTTTAGTGGTAGCTCTTTCTAAGCATTTTATCAGAATGCAAAAATTTGAGTAGGAACTTAAATTTTATCATCTCTTGTTTCTGATGTAAAAATGTTTAAATCCATCTCTGGAGAGCAATTTACATGATTATGCTTTGGGGCACCTCGAGGGGTATGAATAGAGGCTGTTGAATCCTTCAAGAGGAATTTGACAGGTTTTAGTATTTCTCATCTGAGTTCATTTGTGTGGTTTAAGGTTCAAATTAAAGCAAGTAGATGTGTAACAGAATTTCTTGTAGCCACTTTTTTTTTTTGATGTGTTTTAAATCAATTCTCCATGGTTTTAATTGGAGGAAGGAGAAGATCTAAATATGAATCAAATGTAAGATATCTGTAGGGCATTAAAAGCAAAACTGGAACTGTCTATAACAAAACACAACTATTTTGTCTGACCATTCAATTACTGCATTAAACATAAGTTGTGTAATGCCCAAGGAAAAAATCAGTGTGTATTGGTGTGCACTTTTACTCCTCGCCCTGGATTTGTTGAAGTCATGCAATAATTAGTTTGTCCCACCTTTAGCTTGTTAGATTATGGTTCTAATTCCTACTGCCCTGATTTCACAAAGGAATTTGTGCATTATGAAGCAGCAGCATAGACTGCAAAATAATCTATCAATAGTAAATATGCTTTTACAAATGTCAGCATTACTAATTTGTACATATGGTTTAAAGATGATGATAGTTTCTTGCAACTGATTGTTACTGTTTAATATTAGACATCAACGGTGTCTGGTTTTGCCCTTTGCATGCATACAGCAAATATGTCAGACAAGGAGCTAAAGAAGCTACGAAATAAGCAGAGAAGAGCGCAAAAGAAAGCACAGCTGGAGGAAGAGAAGAAGAATGCTGAGAAAGAGAAGCAACAGAGGAATCAGAAAAAGAAGAAAGATGATGATGATGAAGAAATTGGAGGACCGAAAGAAGAACTTATCCCTGAGAAATTGGCAAAGGTACTTACTAATGTGATAGTCAAGTCATAGGAATGTCTAGAAAAGTTCCAGTGACCACACGTACAATTTGAAAGCCATTCAGATAACTTCCTTTTTGTATGGCTTCTCTTCACAGGTGGCATTTTAGACAGAATTCTTTTCTAGGAATAGTTTGTTGGATATACTATCAGTAATGTGATGAAATCACTGCTTTTGTGCGTGGTTCTCAAAGGGAGCAGTTGAATATGTAGACGTTTGCTGCAGGTGGAATTAACTTCATGTGTGTATTGCACTAACTTGTTGATTATGCCCTATTTCTAGTTGATCGGATGGAAGTCTTTCTATTCTGAATGTAAGGTGATTATCATTCACTCTTTATGTCCCATAATATTTTTTATTAATCATAGACAACCTGTGAAAAAGAAGTCCTTGAAAGACTGAATGCTTTAGGAGTATTTGTTTGCATTTAAAAAAGCATTATAGAAGCTGTTTGGAAATACCAGTAGGCTAGACTGAGATGGACGTTGAGATCTGGATTAAGACCTCTAGAGATACATAAAGGGGAGATGACCCAGAAGACTATTCCTGTGCTTAAAGTTTTACCTGTAAGGAGCAGGAAAACACCTTGAAAATGTGGGGGAAGATAATGAAAAAATTACATGTAGACTCGAAAAAATAATTTATTGTAATAGTAGTATAGAAATTAATTTATCGTAATAGTAGTATGTTATCCAAGTACTGATAGATGCAGTATTTTCACTTCATACATATAATGAATATTATTGACTCTTGAGGGTATGATATTTGAAAGCTGAGACAGTGAACTTCATTCTGTAGCCAGGAAGCAAATGACTTAAAACAACTTGACTAGTCATTTCAGAATATTGTCAATATTTCCATTGTTTAGCTCGGTGGTTGTAAGAAGCAGCGTTCTAATGGTAGTGCCAGTTAAGACTGAAATGGTCTCAATGTCACGTATGAAAATTGAATTTTCCTGGGTTTCCCAGGAAAAACTAGGCAATTTCCAAGATTATAGGGAATGGTTGCAGCTGTATAATGCATTCCTTTGGGAAGTCTTCCTTAATTATATTCCAAAAATAATACCAGAATCATGATATAGACACTTCAAAATTCAGTTGTTTCCCAGGGCCAGAAGACTGTTTCTGGTATCGCTGGTCACTTGCACCTGAACCAGTTGCCCCTAGACTTCTTCGGCATTAAAGGCACACATTTGAAATCTGTTTTATTATAGGTTCCAAATAGTCTAAGTGCAGTTGTGACTGATGCATGCAAACTCATAACAGCACATGTAAATGATGCGTATTTAATTGAAATTGCTGTAGTATGTGCTTAGCAGGATCTCCATAAGGTGTTCATCATTGTCTTCAACTCAGTTGCTTGCAGTGAAGTGTATTGCTTCAGCATTACTACGTTGTTGACAGACAACATTCAATTTTATATCCATTTCTGAGAGTAGCCTATGTTCATAAAAATGTTAATATGAAGATCAATGGACAGTCCTCGTTCAAATTATCCCTAACCTCTAGATGCAATAGACCTGTCTAAAAGAATCTTTGCACAGAATGAATTTGTGTTAAAGCTGTCCATTTACTGGATTACAGTGGCTAAGACCAGAAGACCATGATCAATATCTAGTTACTTCAAGCTTGCTGTTAGTATCTTAGCTGGGAATGTTGCCATGACCTGACAGCTTTTGGGAACGTCTCTGAACTCATGAACATTGTCATGAGTATAAAATAGTCATATACCAACATCTCAGACCCATGTGTGTAGATTTACATGGGGAGCCAGACTGCCCGTTACAGCACAGGTTCAACTGTAGCTTTGGTTACTACTGATGTATGATAAAAGGCAAAGACTTGCATCTCTGTAGGAAAATGCGTTTTGTAACTATCACAAAGAAACTTTATAGACTTGACAGTCTGTATTTAGACGCTAAAACTGAGTGAAAGATGCAAAATCTGGAACACAGGAGGTTCTAAGCACCTTATGCATTGCCTTATGAGAGTAACTTTCTGATGCGACTCAGAAATAGCCAATTCTCTTGTTGCAGTTACTAGATTTAAACTTTGTGACTTAGTTGTGTGTCACTTCTTGGAATCTGTAGGTTGAAGCACCTTTGGAAGAAGCCATTAAATTTTTAACACCCCTGAAGAATTTAGTGAAGAACAAAATAGAGACACATCTTTTTGCCTTCGAGATTTATTTTCGAAAAGGTAGGTGAGAAAACGAAAGAAAGCAGTTTGATGCTCATGAAGATATATAATAGAATTCAAGCAAAAATTACTGATGAGGCATGAGCAGTCAGTGCCTGTCGGAACACACGCAGCTTTTCATTGGACCAGCACCCAGCCATGAACAGTCTGAGGAAAAAAAAAAAAAAAAACAGCAAAGTTTGAACACTTGGTGATTAGCCACTTTCTTTGCTGTGTTTAAATGTATAAGCAACAAGATTGTAGTTAGTTCTCCCCTCTTGCATTTGCCCTGGTTATTTGCTCTGTATCTGTAGTTAGGACTAAATGCTGTAAAGAAGTGGTGTACAGTTGTCCTGCTTATGAGTACTGGTCTTTTGAAACACTGGACTTACGAATTTTTGTATTATGCTATAAGAACTTAGTATGTTCAAATTTACTTACTAGTTTAAGAGGCCTAACTCACTGGTTAATGAGTTTATTAATAATAGCTGTTGCAGGACACTTGGCTTTTAATTTATTCTGATCATTCAAATTTCAAACACTAAATGCTCCTGCAGCATAATGCAGCGAGTTCCAGCCACAGGTGTTTGAACATTTGCCAACACTTTCTTTTCCAGAGAAGTTCCTTCTGATGCTTCAGTCTGTGAAAAGAGCCTTTGCTATTGATTCTAGTCATCCTTGGCTTCATGAGTGTATGATTCATCTCTTCAGCAGTGGTATGTATCTGTTTGATACAACTTCATCTGTACACATTTCCAAATGATCCCTAACCTGCGTACGGACATTGATACTTAGCTTATAGACTGTTAGCGCAATTAATTAAAAATATTTAATACACATAGTGGAAAGCTTTTTAACAGCTGATTCATGCAAAAATTAAGTTTGTTTATTATGATTGTAGCTGGATTTAGTTATTCCAACAAGTATTAGTAAGTGTTTTTGAGACTCTGAGTAGTATGGTGAACCTGAAAGAGGGACTGAAGAAACGAAACTGCAGAGTGAGGAATCTGGCTTTTCTGCTGGCAGCCTGTGTCAGCGTGCAAGGATAAGGCCTAGTATTCTCTCCTGTTTGTTAGAAAGCTGGAAGGATTCTCTTCTACCCCTTCCCTTCCCTTGCCCCAGAGGTCACCCTTCCAGTTGGTGGCTACAGACTAGGTACATTTGAGAACAGAATTCTGTGACCTCAGTCTTTGAGCCTATAGATTTTAATCAGTAAGGGGGAAGGTGTATTGGAATAAAAAGGCTGTGGCTTTTTCTTAGTATCAGAAAACTGTCACAATTAAGCTTTTTCCAACCAGACCCAGCTGTTTACCTTTTCAAGTTTCATGCATCTTCCTTTGACTTTTTTTTCTATTGATAATGTAAGCATGATAAATATTAAAATAATGCATAATGCATAAAGTCAATTTTAGTGTGATTACCTGTGCTCACCTTAGTTAACTGCTTTTTTCCAATTCAATAGTATCTGAAAGTAAGGACCTTCCTGATGCAGTTAGAACGGTGTTAAACCAAGAAATGAATCGGCTTTTTGGAGCAACTAATCCAAAGAACTTCAATGAAGCTTTCCTTAAAAAGAACTATGACTCACTACCACATAGGTTATCAGGTATTTTGTCTTTTTCTGTCCTGATTGTGTATTTTCTGTGCTTATCTAGCAGTGGCATCTCAGCACCAGTGATGTAAAAATTACTCTTTCCATCAGGAACGCCTTTCTTCTCTTAGTCTGCATTTTTGTGACATGACCTTCACGTTGTCTGTGGTTTTCTTTCATTTTTTTTTCTGTATGCTGTTAAAATACAGATTTTTGGACCTCTATCCTGTTTTCATTTCTGAATAATGCTGAGTGTATAAGACTGTAACTGTATTTAATGCATCTGTGAAATTGTTTGAGCTATGTGAAGTAGTATTTCTGAGTTGCGAAGTTTTGATATATTTGTATAGGCTGACTGCAAGAGAAACGTGCTGAGTGATCAGCAAGCCAGGTAATGCCCAGAGCTGTTGGTGTGCCTAACAAGAGGAGCTTAGATAGTGCTGGTTGCCTGTTGTGAAAGACTGTCTGTCAATAGTGACCACATATTACAGTGGGTACCATAGGAGAAACAGAATGTAAACCACCCAGGGGAGCCGAGCAGCATTACTGTTGTGGCTCAGACCTGGTTGTGAAAAGCAGCAAGTTTACTCTTGCATCATCTGGCATCAAATCCCTTCAACTACATCTGTGCTGTGGAACTGTGTCTTGGTTGTGTCCTGATACCATATTAGAAAGAGCTCTGTGCACATCTTTGTGAAGGAGATATGAGCAATGGTGCTGGGAGGGAACTGTGATGTGTTGCGGAAGGTCTGATGTCTTCACTGCCTGAGACTCCACAGTACACTGCAAAATGCTCCTACCATGCAGTGTAGACAATGACTGTTTTAACGCTTTGTCTAGCATTGAATAGTAGACTTAAAGGTACCCTCCTACTTGCTCAGATGTCAACATTTAATACACTCCAATGTGGTTCCAGTTTGAAGTACTGCTGTGGAGTTCAGTATCTCCTCTTGGTCATAGTATCTCTGGTGATGTTTGTACTTAAGTTTTTGGTCATCCCCTGGGTGATGAAGCTTATTTTTCCTCTTGTAGCTGCCAAAATGATGTACTATTTAGATCCTTCCAGTCAGAAAAGGGCAGTGGAGCTGGCAATGACCCTGGATGAATCCCTCATTAACAGAAATCTTCAGGTAATGGATATTCATAAATCATAAAAAATCTGGTATATCTGTGGAAGCTTTATGCAAATTACAGAGGTAAGAGGAAGCTGGGATGGTGGCTGTGCATTATGGTAAGGAGGTTGGGTTGGCATGAGAGAAAAGGGTATCAGGTTCATCCAAACTGAAATGTTTAATGTCTTAATTTAGTTTTGTCATAATATGAAAATAGATAGGTAGCAGCAGAAACCATGTTACTGCCAAAAGTAATGGGAAAGCTTATTAAACACAAGATGATTCACTTGGAAAGATGTGAATTCATATCTGACTCATACCCATTTTTGTTCATGATTTAGAAGAGAAAAAGGAGATTTCCTGGGTTTTTTTCAACTTGCATTCCAGACATGAGAAACCAACCTACTGAGCTTCACTAAAGCCTGGCAGCATTTAGCATCCATCCATGTCGTGTATGCTAGCATTAGCATAGTAAGCCAGTCTTTTTCCAATCCTCTGACATTTACTATAGCTTTTATTTGTTCTGTGTATTAACTGTTCTGTCCCCCTACTATGGGGTTATATGAAGTTCTCTTCAACAGCAACTTTTGCTCACATTTGCTCTTTGCAACGCTGGCATCCACAGAAGGTCAGCTATATCTAGATTTATGCCTGTGATGTGCCCCGAGACAGCTGGTCTTTGCTAAAATGAAACATAAATTTGATCTCTTTGCACACAAGAATGCCTTTCAGCAACTGCCTGGACTCCTTCAGACTTTCTGGTTTTCAGGGCATTTTGAGTTTCCTCACATGAAAGTTCAGTAGACCTCCAACTCTTACTCCATGTTGGCACCAAGAATGCTTTAACTGAACTTTTTAATGTTGCATATATAATCCTTATACACTGCTTCCTTTAGTCCTTCTAAGGTAACACCTGGAAAACAACCAAGCGTTTTTTATTACATTTTCATGTTTCCCCAGTCCAAGTCCCAGAATCTGAGTTTCAGGCAAACAACACAACTGTGAGGCAAAAAAAAAAGGGCTGCTTAAGGCAATTTAATTTGTTTTCTAAATCTGTTAATAATCTGTCTGAAGCTTTTTGAGACTGCTTAAACAGTTACACAAAAATACCCCACAAATGAGAAAAGAGTACTGAATATGTACTCAGGTTGTAAGACATGAATTTGTGTCCTATAACCAGATAAAATAAATAAATAGCAGAGAAAAGAAACCAGCTAGAGAAAGGATTTGACTCTTTAACATACTAGCAAGTTCATAAATTGTGACAAATTATTTCCTTTTCTCTTTTCCCACTCTGTTTTGTCCAAAAATCCTGTTGTGAACTTAAAATCCCTCACAATTAAAGTTCTGTTGAAGCCAGCATATTTCCAAAGGGATTTTTTTTGGAAAATGCTGTGGTTTTCCCCCAAAATGCTGCAACAAAGTCCAGCAATTTTACTTGCAATAGAGCTAAAAAAATTCTTGAGTCGCCAGACATAAAAAACACAATAAAGAAATGAAGTGCCAGGGGAACCAAGAGAAACGAAACATCCCAGAGTTTGCTCAAACCTGCCAAGGAATCTCTCTAATACTTAATTAAATGTGCTGGACACAGCGATGCCAAAGGAAACTGTTTGACTGGGATACAGAAATAATTTAGAAAAGACTAGAAAAAAGAGAAAGGACATTTTATTCCTTCTCTGCTTTTTCAGGTAATGTTCTGCCATTGTGCAGTCATGGGGCAGGGAGGGGGGGAATGTTTATTAATTCTTTATAAGAAACTTACGAAAATAGTAAAAAAAAAAGTCAATCTTTTTAGCCTGTATTACAGCTAATGCTCAGGCAGACTACGCTTTTCTTACTGGGAGGCTTTATTTTGAATTGGACTGCACTGGTATTTCATGCTGTATCTACTTAAAGTAATTGGTTATTGATAGAAACCTGTAACTGAATTGAAGTTTGTTTTCTTTGCAGTATTTGCATTTGTGGTTTGTGAGCATTCAGATTAATGTTCAAGAAACCATAACACTTCCTTATTTTTCTCTTTAATTAGACTTGTATGGAGGTATTAGAAGCTTTATGTGACGGTAGCCTTGGAGACTGTAAAGAAGCATCTGAAACTTACAGAGCAAATTGTCATAAGCTTTTCCCTTATGCTTTGGCTTTCATGCCCCCTGGATATGAAGAGGATATGAAGATCACAGTTAATGGAGATAGTTCTGCAGAACCTGAAGAACTGGCCAATGAAATATGAACAACTTTATTGGAAAAAAATGACATTGGACCATATCTGGTGTATAATATTTTTGTCACGCACCTGCTGAATTGTTCTAACTTACACAGAGAACAGAAGGAAAAAAAAAAAGGTTGCCTTCAAATAGTTTTACTTTTTTTTTATCCTGCTGACAAAGTATTATATATGAGATATCTAACATATTACTGGATATAGGTTGTTTGGTTTCTTAAAAATTAAGAGCTGCTAAAATTGAAGAAAAAAAACCCTTCTCCTTACCTACCCATGTTTTTAAACTAATTTATATGAGTGAAATGTGGCAGCACATAGCCCTCTGAGCAGGTGTGTGGCAGAAATATTACTTTAAATTTGTCTTGTGAGATTACTGTTATCTCAGACAGCAAAAATGCTGTTTTAGCACTGGATTCTTTCACTGAGCACAAAGAGTTGATGGGGCTTTAGCATCTGACTGATTTTGATACGGGGATGATTCTGTCCATAGGAAGTATGCAATGTGAATCAGAATATAGAGAAACCCTCAACATACACGTTATGTTGCGGATGCTGGGACATACGGATATCAAGCAGAATTAAGAAACATAGTGTGTTCAATAAGCTTGTTGTGTCTCTGAAATTCACTGTACACGATCAGTTCGGTGTTCTTGCACCACAGTTTTTAATGGAAGGAACCAGTTAAAACACTCTCTCTCTTTAAGTTAAACTGGGAGGGGTTGGGGTGGGCAGAATCAACATTGCTGTTTGTGAGATGAACGTGGCGGCTTAGGTTGGCCAAACTTTTTAAAACTGTAATGCAAGAACCAAATAAAATTATGCACTGTGATGTGGCACCAACTAATTAGAAAGATCGCATGCATTTTTTCACTTAGAGTGAAAACGAAATGAGAACATACTATGGCTTGAAGTTGCAAAGAGGAGAACTCCTGACTACCGTTTTGACAGATCAAGAGACTAATAGTTTAAAACCTCAGCAGGCCTTGTTCACGTTATGCAGAAAACAAATAAAAAGTGCTGCAGTTTAGATACCTCTGGAACTTTTCCACAGTGTCACAGGTTTGTAATACTTGAAGCCCTACATTTCTAAGAATATATTTCTTGCTCAGTTGTTTCAGGCAAGCCCAAGACTTTGTAACTTTTAAGGGGCCCAAGATTTTTTTTCAATAACAGACCAGCTTCTTATTCCTGCAGTTACAGATGTAATTTCCTTTGTCAAACATAAGGTACCAAATATAATGCAATAAAACGTTTTGAAAAACAATTGTGTGAATATTTAAACCGATCTCTGTTGTACTTTGAAAATGAATGGGTTCACTAGAGTGCAGCTCAGGGTTGGCTTACTGTGCTGTCCAGTTATGCTAATAATGTCACTGCTGATGGGTGGTTGTTGAGCCTAACTGCAAATGCATTATATGTAAATACTGAATGTCTGGGAAGTTCTAATAACATAGAATGCTTTACTACTTGGCTTTTAAGTTCCACCACTGTTACGTTGAATTTTATTTTCCAAGTCAAGCTTCAGTCTATTAAGTCTACTGTGTTAATAATATAGATAAGTGCTCAAATATTGTTGTCTTTTTATAGGCTCAACATATAAAACAGAGCAGAAAACAAACTACAGCTTATAAAGTGAGTGCCTTCTTTGCTGCAGGAGTTCAGTTACAGAGTATGTGTAGTGTGAATACACAGCCTTCCTCTTCCACATGACTGAAATTCAGTGGTTGACATGAACAGTTAAGAAATCCAGGAAGACTTACTGGGGTTTGTAGTTTTCTGACTGACAGAAGAACAGGTTTTTGTTTCTTGTATATTCAGCACCACTATCTTTTCACGGTTAGACTATCCTTGTATATGTTTTGCAGTGTAGTTCATGTTGGAAATGTAAGTTGTGTTGCTATATTTGTGTATTTAATCTGCTGGGCTTTTAGGGACTAGAATACCTATAGAGCCTTTAATTGACTCTGGTATTTATTTCTAGATCTCAGTCTTTTCTGCAGCCTGATGAGATACCTGGACTGCATGTCTTCTGCAACTACTGAAGATGGTTCAGTCTTGCCTACACAAGCTATGAGCTTTTGGCCTTGCCTCTGAGTATTGCTGCTGTTTTCTTGGCTTCTGATGCTTAGCAGGAGGCAGATGAGTGCTCACTCTTTTTAACAGATTGTGAATTGCATCAAGCAATTTTTTTTTTTCCCAAAAATTCTGGGGTTTGGGTGCTGCCTATAAATGGGATTATTTCCTTTTTCACTGCCTGTTTTTGTGTTGAAATAGATGAACTAAAAGCAAGAAGTTACTTGTTATCTTTGATTATGCAAGTGGGAAAGGATATTTCTGTGGGCCTTCCAGAAGCTTCCATCTACACTATTGTGATTTCCCCAAAGACATTTCATAACCTTAAGTGAAAGGCATCCATAGTGCTTCAGAGATGACACTTTTGGATTAAAGAGGTTCCTCATCCCTTCCAGAAGACTGCAGTCCCAGGAAATAAAACCAAGTCAAGAGTTTACCTGAAGAAGAAGGTTCTTTGATTGGCAAAGGAATTGCTATTCCTTCATCTTTGTGTATCTCCTGTTAGATTCAGTACTAACTTTTGATGAAAGGTTTCCAAGAGCTGGAAATGAAGTTAACAATCCAGTGCAATGAGTCTTGCGAAGCAGTAGCAGAGTGCCACGCTACAGTGAAAACCTGCCCATGCAGCTGAGATCCAAACTGTAAATCATTGGTGCTTGGCTGCCAAAGCCGTGAGCAGGGATTGCAGTCGTGATCGGAGTGACCTAGAGCATTGGCTCATTAACAGCATGAGTTGTCTTGATTCTTCCTGATTTCCATGGAAAAAGGTGTTTCCACCATCAGTGGAGCTGCTGGTGATGACCCAAGCCATGGATATCTTTCCGGGGGGGGCGGGAGTTTAAGCAACAGATTTTCCCTAGATAGAGACTGTAGATGGTGCAAATGCACATTGCATGAAGCAATGCCAGAGTCAGAAGTGGACTTAAATTGTAAGTAACTGAAAAAGGTTGTTTGTCCCAAGGTGATAGATGAGGCAATCACTTTTTCCGTGTGGAGACCAGAGCGTTCAGGCAGCGTTACGTGTGAACAAACAGGCAAAAGAGTCTCAAAATTGTGTATTCAGTAACTCCTTTTGTTTCTTTGTATCTTAAATGCCTTAAAAGCCTCTATATTCTTCTACAGTTACATTTTTCTTTCAGTACAGGTCTTAATGCTTCCATGTTCATAGGGGAGGAATCACGTCCTGATGTGGCAGCCAGAACACAGGAGATTTGTCACTCTGTTTTCTCCTAAGGGAGAAAACGCCATTTCCCAGGGAGCTCTCTAGGGCTAGATGAGGTATATTTAATTTGCCGGTTAAATCTTCCTTTCATGTGTGCTTTGTGTTGGAAGTTGGCGTAGCTCCTTACTCTTCAGCCAGCTTGAATTGTCAATGTCTTTATAGAAAATACATCAATAAGAGTAGGGTGAGATCAGGCCTGAGAAACCAGAGGTGCAAATACAATTTCAGTATTGTGAGCAAGTTCAAATAAGCAAACTTCAAATCTTTGTCTAACCTAATGCCTTTGAGGGCCCAAGCAACATTTGTGCCATCGTTCTTGCAGTGCTAGCATCCCATACACCACAGTTGTGCTTTGAATGCGTGCCACTAATGCTAAGAAAACCGCTTGATACGATAATCCAGCTCAGCATACCTGAAATAAAATGATTTGATTTTTCTCTTTTCATAATGGCTTTAAATGTTTTTGTAAGTGTTCTGTGCTGGGTAGCTAGCTAGCTTTAAAATCTTTTCCCTCTCTTTCCCCCTAAAAAGTCTGCTCTAAAAGTGCAGTTTGTACCTAAGTGGTAATGTAAAATAGCTCGGACTATGTGGAAGTAAGAGTGATGCTTCTCTGATAACATGCTGCTTCTGTGGAGGAAAATGATGCAAATGTAGTACATAATTAGTCATATCCGTAAGGAACTGAGCAGTCTATATGCTCATTAATGAAAGTTAAAGTGCCGGATGGAGAAAAACAGTTGCTGAGCTTGGGAAAAGACTTGCTGTCAGGAGCATTCCAGCTGTGAACTGTTCTTGGATGCAGTAAGGAGCAAAGGGCATATACTGTCACAAAACTCTTGGTCATGTTGTCATGACTGTACATTATGCTTTCTGGAAATTAAAGCTGCCGTCTACAAACACCAGTTTTAATGCCTCTTTTGGGCACAAACTCTTCTTCCCAAGAGCATACAGCAGTGAGAATGGCAAGGAGCAACTGACAGAGCAGCTCGGCAATATGAGACTAAAGTGAGCTGTAAGGAGGTGGCATAATAGAAGATCCATTTTAGATAAAGTATAAATAGCTTTTTTATCACTAGAAAGATTACTGAAGCTGTAAATACTGTAAATGCAGTCTTCCCATGCCAAGGAAGCTGTAAATGTGTATTACTTCTAGAGTGGTACAAGCAAATAGTAGTATGTTCACAAAGATTCTAGCTTTGTATGTTGGTCTTCAAGTAAATTGTGACGGAAAACTCTGAGGACAAAGACTGTCCAGTTTACAAGGGACCATATCAAAGGGTTTGTAAGAACATTGCAAGAGAAATGTTACTAGAAAATCAAAAGCGTCTTAGAAGAGCTTTCCTAAGATGCTTGTTTTAATTGAAAATGTCACATCTGCTAAATGTTCATAATAAAAGACAAAAAGTACTTTGACAGAATATTTCTGCCTGGCACTGCCCATTCAATATCTACCTCTACTAGTCCTAGTCTAGTTCAGCTACTGCATAATTTTAGCCATTTAGCACATAACATATGAAAAAGTGTCATTTAACCTGGTTGGTGAACAAATGTATGATGATGGATAACGTTTAAACTGTAATGCAATAAACCACAAACTTAGTGAAAGTCCTGTTGTTGGTTCAGTGCAGCAGCATAGTTATTGCTTCATTGCTGATCCATTAAAATCTTAATTATAAACTCCACTAAGTTACTTGCAATTGTACTGGGATTTGCTTTCCCTTCCAGCCTTCCTAACCGGTTAACAATGTTGTACTGTGTTTTTACGCTCTTCTCTGGTGGTAGCAAATATCAAAACTGGCAGGAAGTCAATCAAAGAATAAAAATGCTGAGTTCTGTTTGTAAATGAGTGCTAGTGTTTCCTTGTAGGGGTCAGCGTCTTCTATAGCTTTCTAATAAATGAGCCCTTCACTAGTTCCTTAATTCTCCATTGCCTCCTTCCATGCTGATGGGTTGCCATTTGGCGTGTGGGTCTCCCAAAAGGGAGAAGGATCTGTAAGGAACGATGGTGACTCCCTTAGGGGCTGGGCTAGAAATGAACCCCCTTGGCAGGGAGCTGCCTTTCCTACCCTAAAGGCTAATTGTACATACGTTGAAAAAGATCATTTGCTCTTTCAGGCTGCAAAAGGCCAATGTGGGTATTTGGGAAATGGTCTTAACTGACAGATTGAATAGAAACGGTTTGAGAGGCAAGCTGAATGAAGAAGCATTTCCTAGCTCGTTTTGGGGAGGGGGGAGAAATAATAAATCCCATTAGCCTTCTGTTGCCCACCCATATGCTCTCCTGATTCTAAATCTTTCCTCACTCAGCATTTCCAGATATCCTGTGGTTTTAATCAGTCAGCAGACAAAATAATATGGTTATGCTGACAAATTAGAGCAAAAGTGACTATAGCAGCTGACCCATCGTTATAATAACCTGTAGTGTTTGTTGTGGACGTGACAGTTAAGATTACCTGGGAAAAACAATTTGACTCCTGTGTGTAGTTCTGATTAACACTACACAATGAGCAAGGGCTCCAGCAGCTTGCAGGTTCTGTATTTCGTTAGAAGTACCCAGGGGAAGGTGATGCAGTTATAGCAATACCCTTATCTTCACCCCTTCGCATGCGAAAGGGGAGCTTGTTGCTTTACACTGATTGTACCTTACTAAAAAATAGCATCCCTCTCTTGTCAATGGTCTCACTGTTCTTTTGTCCAAGGGGAGCAGTGTTCACACTGGCAGTTCATAGGTTATTTTATCTGCATAAATCTGTCAGGACTGACTTTTCATCAGCAGTACCCCTCCATTCCATCAGGTATATGCCTTCTCATTATGCTTCTGGAAACTGTTCTGAAGATCCCACACGCAGCAGCAAAATGACAACACCTCTGCATCACTGCCCCTCAAGAAGCTGAAGAGATGGATGCTCATTGCTTGGCAAGTCCCCTTCCTGCAGCTAACAAACCTCACCAGATGCTACTGGAGGTGA